GCAATGTGAATAAGCAGAAATGTGTTCTGAGGTAAAATGGTGGATGCGTCTTTTTCTTACACTTTAAGTCCAGGAGAGTCATCAGTGTAGAATTTCAGCATAGTTGCCGAGCTACTACCTCTGTTGGTAGTGTTTCTGTTAGCAGTTACAGCACCGCCTGGACGTCTCCTATAAGAAATCAGACAAAACATGAGTTATGGCGGAAACCATTAAGCGGGTCTCTATGCGCTCATCCAATCTTACCTCAAGGCACCTTGTGATCCAGATGGTTCGGCCTATATGATGGAAGTCAACCGGTTAATTACAAAGAATACTCGCCATCAGTTATTGGAATAAAGCAAGCTATTATTGCCATTAAATCATACCATTCTCAAACGAAGGTGGGGTATTTAAGGTTTCGTGTATATACGCGAGTAACGCTTGAATATCGAAAGGTGGATAAGCAGCTTAAAGTGACGGTGAGACTTGAGATCCTTCAAAACCTCAACTTTTTTACTTATTCTACGTATACGAGGCATTGAATGATTGGTTTATTTGCATACAAATAGAGAATAAGCGATATAATTGGCTGACATGGTCATCTGATTATTTAAGACGGTAGTGCCTATTACTATCCCAATTCTGTGAATAGAAGTTTCTCACCAAATTTCGTTTTTTTAAACCAATTTGATAATCTCGACCGCAGGGCCTTTTTGTCGAGGAAAGCTTTTGTTTACTTGATAACTTTTTGCTCTTAAATGGTTGTGGTTGCGATATCTTTCACACGTTCCGTATTACTATGCAGCGGTCCCAAGGCTTGTAGACTTCGAGTCCGGGAGGTGTATCATCGTTCTCTTCTGTAGCTAACAAAAAATAAAAGTTTATTCATTTACATAACCGTATAACACAGTGCAGTCGCGTACCATGAAAATTAAAAAATAAAGGCATGATGTAATACCACAAGTTACTTGCTATTGCTTATATATGATTGGGCATTGATGTATATTTAATACCTAATAGTATTAAGATAACAGAGTAAAACCAGAACCTCGAAATTGCATAAAGTTCAAAGTGATTCTTTGTTGTTTTATCCGTAGCCTGTCAACGTGAATTTCTCTGACATTTTTTACTTCAGTTAGCATTGACATTGTATTGAAAAGACAATGGCAATAAAGATCAATTACAGGAACAAATACTGAATAATCCATTAATACTAATAATATTTATCATCATTATGCGAAACCGCATTAACTCAAACGTCTCTGGCTGACTATGGAAAAGTTGCGGCTAATCCATAAAGACACTGTATGGATAAGGACGTGATGACGCTCTTCTTGTTCTGATTGATGAAGACTGTAAAGATATTAATGTCAAGCTTAATGAAGGATATAGTACCACTAGTTGCAGGCAGTTGTCAAATGCTGAAACTGATGGTTTCATTATTTTGTCACATTCATCTGCTAGAAAATGACATTTTAATTTGTATAATTTGGTATCCATTCAAATAATTCCTGGAGCAATCAGATATTAATATGGTCTAATTTCGGCCACGGATCAGAGTGTACTTTCGGGATGACCTCTTCTTGCAAATAATGGTGTACATAGCGTAAAGCTTAAAGTTGTGGAGATTGACCCACCGGATTGCTGTGTTGTAGGCAGCCTCATCCACATTTCATGACATCATTTGCGATACCTATCTATCGGGAGACTGCTGAAAGAAGTGACGAGATTAGCAAATACTTTCCGAGACATTGTGTGGTTTTACAAGACACGCGAGAAAACCCAACGCACGTGATGCCGATGAAGTCAACCGCGGCACTGTTAAACGTGCTCAAGGCTAAGCGCTCAATAAGTCATTGGAGATTAAGCCAAAGTATGCACTTGCTTTAGTTTTAGTTACTTTGGGCTGAATTGTAAGAGATTAAACCAGATTTGAACAAGTCACCGAAAATTAAACAGTAACATTGAAACGGAGCTATTACTGGCTTAAACTGTATGACAACTCTGATTCGAACAAATCACTGAAGTCAAACCAAAACGATTTGGTTACATATTATAATGCCCTTAATAGAATCATACAGAACGTAGAAGAAGGCATGAAAAATGAACCGAGTCTAGTAACCTTCGTTAGGGACAAACTCTATGGTGCATCATATCGTGAATTTATTGTGACGCTCCAGACGAGAATACCAGCTCCTTTTTTCATGTGCTATTTTGTTAGGCAGAGTTGATTCTTTTCCCTTGACAATGAAGAAGTGGTCTCAGTCAAAGCGTGAAAACCTCCAGTTATTTTTTGTAATAGCAAATTGTCCCGTAAAGAAATAGCTCGTAGTTGTATCTAGTAATTATCATAATGAAGTTGCAAACTTACATGGGGTATGCTGCAATAATAATAAAACCAGACAACCACAATACTCCGGGAATTGAACGTCTTCGATATAACTGATTGACAGTGAACACACTGATTATGATGCAAGCGGCGCTACACAGTAGCCAGGTCGCATATGCTGTGGGATTGCCTACGGGGAAAGCGCAAAGTAATCTCAGACTTGTCAAAAACGAGCCCGTTCATATTTACGGGTATTTCATTGAGACACTCGGTTGGACAAGTTATGAATTGATCTCTTCTAATGCGAAAATTCAACGGTTCCATTGGCAAGTTGCTACGGCTGTATCGCTCAAAGTCTCGGCACCAGATTTTTATTAGTGTAGCATAATTTTTTATTTTTTTCCTGCCCTAGCCACATACAAATAGCAAGATATATTTTTTTTATTAAAAGGAAAATTTCTTATGACTGCGTTCTCTTTTTTATTCTTTTTTGTTTTTAATCACTAGTCATTTTTTTTGTTCCGTTTATTTAGTTCACTCAAATGAGTAACTACCAGATATATATATGTTCACTTTTTACGATCACGCCTTACTTTTTTCTTTTATGGCGTGAGTTTTGTTTCCCTTCGAAGATCAATCTCCTCATTATCTTCGCCACTCTCCCATGCCGCGTCCTTCAGTTCTTCAACTAGTCGAAGCATTTCAAATTTTACTTTAATCAAACTCCCGGATATCTCATGGAGGCGCATCAAAGCCAGTTGGTAACTCCGATTTCCTAACTACGGTGGCGGTATAAATGCGGTTGTGCAATAATTGACATTTATATATTGTCATTGTAAACCCTAATAGACAGTCAAATGGATAAAGTTTGAGGAACGCCGCCAAAGGAAGAGCATTTCACAAATTAGACATACCATATACCAATATTTCATAGACAAACATTCGTTCAACCCTTTCTATATGCATATTGGAAACCAACTGATCTAATGCCAGCTTTATTCCTTTCAGAAGCGCGTGCTGATCACATTTACAATCGAACCCCGTTATAACGAAGAGGTCAGCAAAATTCCAAGAAATTCAGTATAATTAGTAAATTCGGTATAACGGGGTTAAATTTGCTATAGATGTTTCTGTACTTACCTTATAACAGAGTTCAGTATAACGAGGTTTGACTATATATTTCTTCTTGTCTTTTATGAAAGGAGGTCCCGCTACCTCTACAATGAGCAATTCTTTAATTAAACATCTTATTCCGAAACAAAAAACTTTCGCAAAAAGTCACTACTTGGAACAACACTGAAACAGTTGATCTGCTATGCAGTAGCCGTCGAGGTTACTCCCGAGAAGCGGAGAGAATGTGCGCGCGAGTACTACGTCACCCGCAACCAAGGGAACATATGGTGTATCATATTAATAAATACATGTTCTGTTTATATAATGCCCGTGGTTTTGTCTCAGGTGGAGTTATGACCATGTGTAATACTGCTATGTATGTATGAAGGAGCTG